ACGCGAGATAGCAGCACTAGTACCTGCTCACGAATTTTTACATTGGCTCTTACGGGAGTCCAGGGTCCTATAGAACTGGTCCCTGCCCCGGGCAGAAACGAGTATGTGACAGTTTCGGCAGATTTCGGCGTCGAGTTGGCAACGGTGGACCCAGCTTGGTGAATAGAAGTTGCCGGCAACGGGGACTTTATGGCTCGGGGATATGGCGCGAAATTGATCGTCATCCCTCTCAGCAGTCGCGGCTCCGGCCAATAAAAAAGGGCGTAAATGCTATCGGAAACGACGATCCGAGGACCCCCTTCATGGGCTTCGGTCTCTCCACGACTCAACTGTGAATCTCCGGATGAGGTCAGTAAGACTACGGACTGGGGTTCATTTCGTGGGAATACACTAAAATGGTGCCCAGTCAGAAAAAGTAACCGCACTGGTAAAAAAACCTCTTGGTTCAAGAGTGCAGTTTCTTGTCGCCGGATTTAAGAGCCTGGACTCTTGTTTCAATGCAAAATCCGCTTGAATCAATGCAAAATCCGCTTGAAACAAGAGTTCAAGACTCTTAAATCCGGCGACAAGAAACTGCACTCTTAAGTCGATGCAATGCGGCATTGGTAGAGGTTTTTTTTACCAGTGCGACATTTGTGAATATAGGAAGTTGAACATTGACTAATCTACCCTAGTAGCAATGACTCTTAAAAAAAGTTCTGCAAAAAGTTGTAAAAAAAATGATAAAAACTTAAGTAAAAAAATAGTGTTAATTTAATTAAAAGAAAACGTAAAATTTACGTAAAAATCAATAAACTATATCCTCAATTTTTATGGGCTGCAACTGTTCCTCTCATACTTTTCTGTTTACCACTTTTTTTCCTCGTTTTTGCCCGCATGAAGTTAAAAAAATACGTAAATTTTACTTAAATTTTTCTTAAAATTTACTCCAAATTTTTCTTCAAATTTATGTAAAAAACAAGCCCCAAACAGGGTTTCCTAATACGAATATTCCAAGAATTTTTTTTACGTAATTTTCAAGTGGTTTTAAGGTAAATTTCAAGAGATCTCTTAAAGTTTACGAGTTTTTTACAAATTTTCTCAACAGCCACTGCTACTAGGGTAGATTCCCTTTGTCATGAGAGTTCGGACTATACGAATCCATTTTTGATTGGTATATGAAGCCTCCACAGTGTCATAAACGGGAATTAAGATTACATTTTCACCAATTGCAAAGATTATGGACCGGAGGATTGGGGGCACGGAAAGGAACAAATGGAATGAGAGAGGGAACGGAGATAGAAATCCGGGAATGGGTCGATCGAAGATTACAGAAAACGCCCGATTAGTGTAATCTTTATTCCCGTTTGTGACATCCACAAGCCGCGTTGTCTCAACTCTCTCTGTAGAGGGGCTCTACTCACACCTGATTCTGTCTTTGTTGTTTTCAAGATCGCAACTGAATTCAAGTAGGGAACCAACTTAAGCTGGATCCTCTCGGCGAAATTCGTTTTCAATTACGAGGGAACGAGATTCCGATCGCGATAAAGTGCCTTCATTTACCTAGCTATGCCAAACGCCCTACAGGGGGACACGAATAATCGTATCGTTGTCTTGATAAATAGAACGTTTGTCTCTTGCCTCAAAAGTGTCAAAATATTCGTAACGTACCCATTGGTTGGCACTGTTGACTCTCTTCTAAGAAATCCAAATGTCTGAGGCGAATCATCCTAAATTCAAATATTTGATAAGATTAATTGTTTTTGATACAATCATCTAAAAAATTGGATTTCATTTTGCGGTTCGGAACTAAAATTTTTGGCTCATCTATAAAAATACTTTTGTGCATAAGGAAACTTATTTTACATAATTGAATTATGATAAGGCTAAGAATAACGCTTAAACAAACGAAAATAATGTATCAACATTTTGGAGCAGTTTAGACGCAGTAATCCTTATGCAATCATAGATCGTGAATACTGGAGACTATTTTTCACTCTTGAATCAGATAGACTACATTCAGTATGAGGAAGTCAAATTTCTGGCTCATCCATAAAAACACCTATCTGCACGAGGAAACTAATAGAAGATATCGACGGTGAAAGTCGGCAATCACATAACTCGGTTTGCGACGTCGCAGACTTCCTGTCATACTTTATTTTTTAAACGGAAAACTACTCAACGGCAATTCTTTAAAACTGCCATGATTTTTCTTCATTGTGCTAAGAAAATTCTGCAAAAACTTCAAGGAATGATGTCAATTACTTCTTCTTTAAAAAAATAACATCGAAGCGGAGATTTTCAGACACCGCAAACGAGTTATGTGATTGTCGACTTGCACCGTCGATATGTCGTTTTTCAAATGAGTCATAAATAGCAGATCCTAATTGCGAAATGTACTCCGATGACATTTATTTGGAGTTTTTCCAAACTTTCTTCTGAACCACGTAATGAAGAAATTAATTAAAACTGATCGCTTTTTTCTATACAAATTAACATTTCTTTGCAGAAAGAATAATGAAAAAGTAAATCATCTAAGTATAATCGATTTTTGAAGAAAATTTTAATTTGTATGGAAAAAAGTTTTCATAGTGCCGATAAAATGTTAGAAAAATTATACAGTACGCTATACAACATAGTAAAGCTAATCAGTTGTAACGATGTAACCTCTGTTGAGTATTATAACGGTAAACTTGCGTTGATTTGGGGCTGAAAGAACATTTTCATCGCTGCAAAGTATAGAAAAAATATTTCCGGGCAGACGTGGCAAAAAGGAGCGTCCTTCGGGCTAACCCTTTTGTTGGTATTCAAATACTGTTTGCACTTTTTCCCTTCCCGTTTTATTTTCTTTCCCGTTTTATAAAAACATGACTCCACGTTACTCGCTTATTATCACGTCCGCTCATTGAATTCAAATAATGTTTATGTAAACTCTTTTTCTCCCCCCGTCATGCTTCGCCCGCGCTTCATTGAATCTTATCCTTTTTGTTTCCCCTTGGGCATTTAATTCATTTATTTCTTCATTTGTTATTCGCTTATATTTCATTATATTATTTTTCCATTCATTCATCAACGTATTCAGTTTTTCCTCTCTGATAAAACATTGAAATATAACCACACTGCATCACCTCGCCGTCCTTATTTTACTTTACTTCTGCTTCTTTCCATCGCTCGTGCGTTAAAACTTGATTTATTTCTCATTCAAACGCAAAAGAGAGAAACTTACAGCCCGCGCATACACGACGAGCCCACGGCGAGAAATTAATGTGACATAAACTTACTACTCTTCCTTTCCTTTCCTTCCGTCTCCTCTTCACTGAAAAAGGAAGAATCTTAAATTTGCCGCCAAGAAGTATTTTTCCTTAAATCAAGAATTTTGCTGCTCAATATAAACTACTTTTTTGCTTAAACCAAGCCTTATTTTCCTTGCATCAAGAAAAATTCAGCTTAAATCAAGATGAAAAAAATTCTCGGCGGCAAATTCAAGAATCTTCATGCTTGAGCCAAGCGTCTTTTTTTTTCAGTGTTCGTACTAAGTCTCCCTTCATCCTCTTTCCATTTCTCTCTACCCTCTCTTCCGTCCCTTGTTTTATTTTTCAAGTCATAATAATTAAAGACGAGTTTTATCCTTCAGCTGATGGTCCATAATCTCGTAAATGAGGAATTAACTATAATTATCTGCTTTTAGAGTTTGTGTGATAACATTTCCTTCGATCCGCTTGTTGAAATTTTGTATTTGTCTTTTTTGGTTAGATAAGTTTTGATTGAATGGATTATGTGATCTGTATTGGTTTTTTCGTGTCGAGCTTTCCCTAGGTCAGATAAAGGTAAATGGCTAAAGGTACCCTCAACTTGTCCATTATGACGGGCCAACAATGTATAGCTCCATTTCCCCTGGTAAAAATTGGCAGTAGAATCTGTGTTCCAAAATACCATAGACCTACAGCCGGCTGTAAGATTTTCAATAGCTTCTATAACCGGCCACACAATTTCTTATAGCCTTTTAAACAGCCAGGCGATAAAGTGTATGCTAAACATTACTAATTACGGATGCTAGGACTTGGTGAGTTTTTGGAATACTGCTCTCTTTTTGGGCCGTAGTATCTTGATTTATTTTGCGAGGAAAGCTCCATACTTTTTAAGGATACCTGCCATTCCTAATATGTTGGAGCGCCTTCAATTTCGTATGATACTGTGCAATACCTCTGGTGTGAAATAGTTGCTTCAAGCGCCGTGGTACGCTGCGGCGCGGCGTGGCGGGCGGGCACTGCGGGCAGCCAGCGCGAAACGCGCATTGGCGTCTACAAACCTAACAGGGATACTTCACGCATTGCGCAATGCGTGAAGTATCCCTGTTAGGTTTGTAGGGGCCAGTGCGTCGCCGCTCCGCTTTGTGTTAGGCTCTAATATTTAATCTGGCGGAGTCAGCGTTATTCGACTCATGATTTTGAAATGTTTGCACACTCTGTATGGATTATTCTTATTTTAACTGATGAAAACAAATATGTAGTAAAGGAAAATATAATGTGCGTTTTGAAAATATTATGGTGATTCCGTACAAACTTAAGGATTTACAAAGCACACGAATTTCTACACAATTTCTTATAGCCTTTTATAATCGATGGCGAAAAAGCAACAGCCAGGCGATAAAGTGTAAAGCCCGGCGATAGGAACTATAGCCCGGCTGCATATTTTTTTATCACTTCGTGTAGCCCGGCCGTATGATTTTCTCCGCACTTTACAGCCAGCTATATGCTTTTCTGTAGCCTTCTTTAGCCGGCTATAAGAATTCCTATGGTATTTTGAAACGCAGCTCTTATCGCCAATTTTACCAGGGTCATTCCACATTAGCCTCGTTTTGTTCAATAGACTTATTTAGTGGTATCGTTATGCTTGCGATGTTAAACTATTAAGAAACGTAGCCATTAAATCAGTCTATGGATGAGCCAAACATTTCAACAATTTTGACAGCCGTTCCTTTGATGTGCTTTACTTATGATAGCGATTTTCCTCTGTTTCAGTTTTTGAATATGGCCAGCGTGTTCATGAGGATCTTCAACCTTATCTGTATGATGCTTCTCATTGGACATTGGTCCGGGTGCCTTCAATTTCTTGTTCCTATGCTTCAAGGTTTTCCATCTAATTCTTGGGTGGCCATCAACGAGCTTCAGGTACGCACAACGTCCTATTTTTAATGGATCGTATTCGACCCATCAAACAGGCATACTGTCGCTAAAATAGTATCGATATCGATTGGTTCAACGTGTAAACGTAGCCTCAAAAGTCAGTCGAGTGTTCCGTGGGTACGGGTTTTCGTGATTGATTTTTGAATCTTATAAGTACTACGACAATGAAAAGTGAGATTGTTAGGAATGTCCTCTTTTTCAGCTTTTCTAATTTAGATCCTAAATTTTTGTGTGAGGTTGTATTTTATTGTTTTAAACCAAACGATGCATCGAACCACTATCTAATTCGATTCATTTTGATTGACATTTATAGTGAAACTAAAGAGACACTTACACGGGAATAAATTAAATTGCTGATTTAACAATTTTTTAGTTAAAAGAAGTGTCCGTCACGTTTTAATGTAGATTTTACAATAAAAAATGCTAATTTAACCATCTTCGTGGTGAAAGTAGCCTGCCGCTATTGTAAAATGTACATTTGAAACATGTTGGACATAATTTTTAACAATTAAATTTTTAAATTAGCAACCCATTTTTTTCTCGACTCGGTCTAAAACGTTGCACATTTTCTACGATATTTTACCGTTTTTTAAGATGGAAAATCATCGATAATACCCGAAATTTTGTGTGATTTTACATCCCAAATCCGGTTTTTACAGAATTTTACGGTTTCAAGGTGCCAGATTCGTTTCCATGGATTTTTACATGCAGCGGTATTTTTCTAGTGTTTTTCCTGTTGGACGGTTGGCTGCCCTCTTGGGCCCAAAGAGCCCCATATCTCGACATGTCCGTGCTCTCTCCATATAGTTTCTCTATTCAAGATTTGGTTGAAAATTAAAAAGTCGGTTCTGATTGGTCCAAATTCCACTGTTAATAAAAGAGTGATCCATCCAAAAATCGGACCGAATCCAGTGGCGGGAATTCGCCTATGGACGAGAAACGAAAACGGAGCTTTTGAGGGAAACTCAAAAGTCGGGGAGGGATATTCCGGGAAGTGGGCGGGAGTTAATAGGGATGGAGGGCACGAGGTTAGTCTACCAATTAAAAAATGTGAATAAGAACAGGATCTTGGATACTTGGAAGGAGGTCGAGTGGTTTCCCGGTCGGGCCTCCTAATTAATAGGTATCTGTTCAGTGTTCCGCAAGGCATGTAAATTGTGCCCGGGGAACAATTAAAATGTTCCTTTGATGTGTTTGACTCAGCACCGTTCAGCGTCTACTGCTCCTGATCGATGATACCGCAAGCACGGAGTTCCCCCGCNGGGGGGGGGGGGGGGGAGCATACTGCCACGCTAAGGAGAAACATCGTATGAACATCCAGACGTTGCCAAACTTCTCTTGGCGTTAAAATTTTAAAAAACCAAAAAATGGACGAAAATTTAACTCACTCTTGCACTACATATAAAACTTGAAGAAAAAGAGAAAAAATGTTTTATGTATAGTGCAAGTGAGTTAAATTTTCGTTTTTTCTGTGGCTTTATTGTGATGAAGTCACTAGAATACGACTAAAATACTAAAATTAGTGAAAAAAATATGTACATCAAAGTAACTTCTTTGGTAAATTTTTTCATTCTTAACTGGATTACATTTTGCAATAAGGAACCACTATCTTTGGATCTTCCATGAAAGCACCTGTTTGCTTAGGGAACCAATTGCATATACGTTGTTTCTAAAATGAGCCAAAAATAGTGGTTCCTTATTGCAAAATGTAATCCAACTGATAATTACATGTCTGGCTGATATTTGATAACTGTTCTAATAGATTTTTAATCACTTTTTGATCACTTTTCCCGGCCAAATATCAGTCTTGGGTTATTCGCGATTATTGATCATCTACGGTAGGTCCGGTCCCATTAGCGCGGATAATGGGACTGCGTTTAGTAGTAAGGAATCAAGCCACATCAGCTGTTGCCGAATTTAACCAACAATTTCACAAGAGAACTTTAGTGCAGATTTTTTAGACAAATTTTAGGAATTTCCCTCGCACTATGCAAAAATTGCATTGAAATTTGCAAAAAAATCGGCACAACTGTTTTCACGCAAATAAAAAATTAAAGTATTGCCCAATCAAATGTGACAATAGCTGACATGATGGTGGTTCCTTTCTGCTGAACGGGTTCCAGTGGAGATTCTATTGTATGGTGTGTGTAAAATAAAGGAAAATATCCAAAAAATATTTTCAAGTATAAATATCTCAGTTTTTGTCCGTGCGAGCGAGGTCCGTTGAACGTTTTGGGCGAATTAGCTCAACAAACTGGGGTTTTGCCGAATAAGTTTAGCCGAGTTGTAATAAGTTCCTGGAACAAGTTCGCCCGAGGTTCCGCAAACCGCGCTAGTGTGGACAAGGCTTTATTCGAGTAAATTTGGCAGCTTTTGAACTCGTTTGGCCTAACTCGTTGTTAGATGGTGCGTACATACGTGCGGTACAACAAATCGTAGCTCATCTAACGTGAGGGCGCACCTAAATTTTCACGTGAGCCCTGATGAGCATGGAGTTATATGATGGACAGGGCTCACGTGAATATTGAGATGCGCCCTTACGTTAGAGAGGCAACAAATGAAATGAGAAAGGTTGAGAGGGATCTTCCCGGGCCTTGAGTTGCGTAAAGCGTTTCTGCCCCTTAAAAACATCAAACCTATTTCGTTGGGCTTAAAAGTCACCCTCTGACCTTTATGTTTCCGTCTTTTTTGGGATAGCTAGCAATTGCTATCTTGACCTTGTTCTGATTAATAAGGCTCTCCGAATTAAAGAATACAACTGACTTTTTGTCAAAATAAAACTTTGGAATGTAATTTTGGAGCTGCTCCAGCTTTTGCATTTTTAAATATGAATGGAGTACTTTTCTACCCCGCGTTAAAGTCTCCAAATATGTGCACGTTCAAAAAAGCGCTAATGCTAAAAAATAATGGTGCATGTTCCCTCATTAAAATTTCACGTATCACATGGTTTTGACGACACGGTGATCTTATTAGAATTTTAAGAAACCTCACATAGGAAGAATCGGTCGTTTTTCTTGTCGCTCAAGTCAAATTTCTTATACTAGCAAAAGAACTTCTCCATTTGAGTCAATCTGCGCATTGAAATAATCGTGAGGATCATTTCCTTCCTTCTCGGATTCCTTCCCGTTGCCTTCCTCGGTACACCCACAATTTTTCTCACAAGTATTAAGAGTAGAGCAGTGTGGAGATTTTGAGGAAGGAAATATGTTTCGGAGGTTTTCTCCTCCTCTTCTTCTACGGAGTTTGCGACACATTTTTGATACGAAATTAAGAGCAAAGCCTCTTAGTTTAAGCGGATTTCCTTCTGACTCAGGCAAAAATCCGATTGAATCAAGAGTATTTTTTTTCGTCAATTTTTTCAAAAGTCCCGACTCTAGATCCAAGATACTTATTTTCCAGTGCATTTCAGAGGGGGAAAGCTCATTCAAGCACAATTCCCCCTTCTCCCCCGTAGAGATTTGATGTTCGGTGCAATGGTAGTTACGACTAGTCCGGAAGGCAAGTACCAGTGGCGATGTGTGATAATCGATTATCGATGATTTCTCATTTGAAGCTATGGTAAAAAATCGATTATTAAGGTGTTCATTGCGAACACTTTGTTCATCGATCCTTTTCCATTCCTTTTTAAATGGTAGATCAATCGATGTCTCTGTTGCAGGCAAATTTCTTTCAAATATTCTTACGTAGATTGAAATTCTGATTCTTTTCATAGTTTCCCACAAAACAATTCATTTCTCCTACAAGAAATAATTCTTTGTAAAAATATGCATCATACAATGGTATTTTAAACGATTTTTGGCTCCTGAACAGACATCTATCTTGAAATTTTCGGTACGGCAAAATACAGAATTTTTGAAATTTTAAACTTTAAATATATGAGAAGCATTTTAAGGAGGAAGGAACAAGAAGAGTTTGTAGATTTGACGAGTCATTTTTCCAAAATGTTGAAAACTCGAGAGCTTTCCGTTGAGACGAAAAGATCTTTGCAAATTTAAGAATTTGCAAAATATTTTAAAACCTCCAAAATGGAGATGTTGCATGTGAGAGGAATTTGAGATTTGACCATTGATTCTTATGTAAAAGTTCGCAAGAAACACAATGGTGCCACTGGTTTTCTCTGAAATCATCTCCCAAGCTCAAAAAAAGCTCTCAAAGTGAGGCCAAAATGGAGGGGATATTCCATTCTACCCCTAGAGTCCACCTCTACATCAAGACAAACTCATTGTGCAAAGATAGGGAGCAAATACATTAGCAGGGTTGCCGTGTTTTCAGTTTTGGAGTCCCCAAATAAAGTGGCAGCCCTGTCAATGTATTTGCTCCCTATCTTTGCATGGAGAGATTGTTTTGATGTAGAGGTGGACTCTCAGGGTAGGGTGGGATATCCCCTCCATTTTGGCCTCACTTTGAGAGCTTTTTTTGAGCTTGGGAGACGATTTCAGAGAAAACCAGTGGCACCATCGTGTGTCTCGCGAACTTATACATAAGAATCAACAGTCAAATCGCAAATTCCTCACACATGCAACATCTCCATTTAACTATCTGCCTTGGCATTTGATAAAATGCCTAATTTGACTAAATGCCTGCGACAAATCGCAAATCACGCCACGCTACTGGCAACTGCAGAAGCGTTTCGGATCTAGTTTGAATAATTCTCCCACATAATATCATTAATTGAGCTTATCTTGCAGACTAATAAATTGTACATGCATGCACCGCAAAGAGCAGTCTTTCGGCTCCGACTCATGCTCTTGCAACTTGCAATGATGCGCTTGTAAAACACAAGTCGGCGTTGTATGCGGGGTTAACGGGGATGTTGTATGTTTTAAACGGTTGGTTTGCATGTTCAGGAGGCGTACTGGCTGGAACAGTACTCTTGGGCGTTATTCAAGGCCATGTCGCACATGTTGTGCATCGGGTATGGGCGCTTCCCGCCGCAGTCACTGACGGACATGTGGCTCACCATGCTCTCCATGATCAGCGGGGCCACCTGTTACGCGCTCTTCTCAGGTCACGCTACCAACCTCATCCAGAGCTTGGATTCTTCAAGGAGACATTACCGGGAAAGGGTGAGTCCTCAAATATTATTATATTTCATGCCTTCAGAGGCGGACTCAGCAATTTGGCAACACCGGATTTCCTCCATTTAAACCTATGCTAAATAATCGATTCTTGTCGGAGCACCTGGCCCCTTCAGGAATCGATATATTTCCATAGGTTTAAATGGGGAAAAGCAGTGTTGCCAATTCGCTGGATCCGCCAATGCTTTCACTTTGCAGTATAAAATTGATCATATTTTGCAAAAAGGAACCACTAAATCTAGCCCATTTTAGAAACAACATACATGCCATTGGTTTCCCTATGCAGATATGTGCTTTTATGGGAGAGCCAGAGATAGTGGTTCCTTTTTGCAAAATGTAATCCAAATCATAAGATTAACGCGTAAATTACAACGCCTGAGGCGCGAAACGCTTCGGGGGAGGGGGGGGGGGCTATTCTTCATGATTTTACAGTGCTGTAAACTAAATCATTTTCATCAAACAGTTTCCTCTCTAAAATGTGAATCAGCAGTAGAGATTATGAAACACTGCAACCGGAAAATGTGCTTTCCACACTTAACGAATCAATTATGAAGTTATTTCTTTTTTTCTCTTCTTTATGCAAGGGTTGTAACGTGATGGTTTGGGGGGAACATTTTATCAAATACGAATATGAATTACAGGACTTTCCAACGAAATGCACTCACCTAACGCCGCAATTTTTCAGAAATAAAAAGAAATTACCGCGGTGATTTTTAAGAGTCATTACTTGAGATTACAGTGGAAATCGAATATAACAACCTTCGGGTGACCGGTTTTTTCGGTCGTTAAAGCCGAGAGCTATTAAAACAGATAGTTAGATTTTTACGCACTCTCCTAAAGTCAAAAAGCAAAGAGTAAAGCTGTGCTGGCGCCAGGGTATGAAGACGAGGTTTCTTTATTTGCAGGAGAAGAAACACCACTATTTTTAACACGACATTCTCATTTTTTTTTATTTATGTGTACACCGTTGTATGCCACACGCGGTGCATGCTGATCAGAAATTGTGCACACCGCGGACTCCCATAGGTCTGACACCGAAAAATGACGAATATTCAACGATAAAGCGCGCACCTTGGTGCAGGCGCAATGCGTTTAGTGCGCATACAGTCGTGTAGTTGCTAATATGCGTTTCACGCCGACCGCATTGTGTTTCGCGCAACGCATGAAGTATTTACACGGTCTTGTAGGCGCTAATATGCCTTGCGAGCTGACCCAGACGACCGCACTGTGTTTGGTGCAGTGCGCGAAGTATTCCCACAGTCTCGTAGGCGCTGATATGCGTGTCATGCCGACCGCACTGAGTTTGACGCTATTACTAGAACGATGGACGCTATTACTATGCCGTGATGCCCGATAGGTCGTTACATCAGATGTCGTTATATTCCATCCACTGTATTACCTAGATTTTTATGCATTTTCTGTCCATGCCTCTGACTCAAATAAAATCGGATTTTACATATGGCATGAAATAAGAAGCGTCAGAAAAAATACTTCCATAGCGCGTGTCTATGCGCGCGTGTGTTCTATTGTTCATCGCAAGATATTAATCATACAATTAATCATTTGATTCACAGGTAAAACAAGTTGAGGAATACATGGCTTACAGGAAGCTGCCGAGGGATATGCGGCAAAAAATTACAGAATATTTTGAACATAGGTATCAGGGTAAATTCTTCGACGAGGAGGCCATCCTCGGAGAACTTTCTGAGAAACTTAGAGAGGTAAGTGTCCTTGAAACATTTTCCCTCTTACAGAAACCCCCAATAGCGATTATGCAAGTTGGCAACGCTGTTTTGCCTCCGTTTAAATCCATTGAAAAAATCGATTTTAAGGGAGGCAAGCTGCCTCACTAAGAATCGATTGTTTTACATACATTTAAATTGAGGAAAAACAGTACTGACATCTTTAAAGAATCGCCATCGGGAACTCCTAACGTCGTCAACCATTGGCAGCTCCAGCAAATTAGCAACATTGTTTTTTCTCCATTTAAACTCATAAAAATGTATCGATTCCCAGAGGGGCTAGGCGCTCCGACAAGAATCGATTATTTAACATAGGTTTAAATGGAGGAAATCCGGTGTTGCCAAATTGCTAGATCCGCCTGTGTCGTCAACCCTTAGAATTTACAGAAAATCATTGCTTTGTCAACTGTTTACTTAAACATGAGAAATTCAGTGCTGTTGACGGGCACTCCCAGAGAATTTGAGAATACAAGAGTTAAAGAACATTTTAATATTTTAGTTGAATTTTTCATCGTTTTGCCGTTTTCATTTCTTTTTCATGGAATTTTTTAAAGATATCCGGAATTCATCAGTAGAAGGATGATTTTTTTCGATGAGGGGATAACGAGGTGTAAATGAAAAATTTGATAATTGATCCAAGACGTATCACCGATTTCCTTTCAAGATTTGGAAGAAAATCGCATTAAATCCTCATAGCTTTTAAGACTGAAAGAGGAGTAGCTCAATCTATAGCTCCCGGAAGCTTTCTTTGAATCGGCGTATTAGCCATCTAAGCTGTCTGACGATAACAATGACTCCCTAAAACAAAAGCATAATCCCAAAATCTCAAAAGCATTCTTTCTCGTTTGTATACTAATGACTTTGTTTCTCTTTCCCCAGGATGTAATTAATTATAATTGTAGGTCTTTAGTCGCTTCAGTTCCATTCTTTGCCAACGCTGATTCAAATTTTGTCTCTGATGTTGTTACGAAACTTCGATACGAGGTCTTCCAACCAGGTAATTGCATCTTCCTTTTCCTTAAGTTGTAATTTTACACCAAAACTTACGGTCATCTTAAGACAGCTGTGAGCAAAGCTATCTAGTTAAGTTGAAAATAAAGGAATCATAGCTTTACTACACTCAGTTGATTATCCTTTTACGGCTGCCCTGATTGTTTGCGGTTGCCGTCATCAAAAAAATAAAGGAAAGAACTATAAGCACAGCTTTTCTAATACTTCCAAATAATGCAATAGAAACGAAGAGCAAATCTTGAATTTATATGTAAAGACGCAGTTAAGTTGACTGATCCCGCTTTCACCGATTTCCCACTTAAACGAGTTTACTGATCACGTGCTTGCCGATGATCACCGTATCCACGTAATTGCCGATCGTGGAGCTTTGAATTTTCGCCCCCCCCCCCCCCCCCCCCNGTTCAAGGTGTCTGGATCCGCCTAAGATCCAGCATTCTCTTTGGCAGCTTTTTTCCCGGCACCCTATGACACTGAAAAAAAAAGTTCGTCGTACGTACCAAAGTTCGGTGTTCCATTCCATCCCAACTAATTCGGTTCGTGTAACCGAACTTGTGTGGTAAAGGGAACTGACAAACTAAGTTTGGTCATACATGCCGAGCGTTCCGTTACACGAACCGAAAGTTTAGGTTGACGAACCGAAAGTTTAGTTTGAAAACCGAAAGTTTAGTTTGACAAATCGAAAGTTTAGTTTGACAAACCAAAAGTTTAGTTTTACAAACCGAAAGTTTAGTTTGGCAAACCGAAATTTTAGTTTGACAAACCGAAAGTTCAGTTTGACAAACCGAAAGTTTAGTTTGACAAACCGAAAGTTTAGTTTGATAAACCGAAAGTTTAGTTTGGCAAACCGAATATTCGGGATGATATGGAACACTGAACTTTCGGTTCATATGATCGGATTTTTCTTTCCAGTGTAGCCTGTAGCATGACCATTCCTAAACCATTTCTTCGACTGCTCTGTCTTTTCCGCTTAAAGTGACGCTTAAAATGTCGGATGTCTACTGTCCCAGGTGATATAATCATTAAAGAGGGGACGATCGGGAACAAGATGTACTTCATCCAGGAGGGGATCGTGGACATCGTCATGGCCAACGGGGAGGTGGCGACGAGCCTGAGCGACGGCTCCTACTTCGGCGAGATCTGCCTGCTCACCAACGCCCGGCGGGTGGCCAGCGTCCGCGCCGAGACCTACTGCAACCTCTTCTCCCTCTCGGTCGAGCACTTCAACGCCGTCCTCGACCAGTACCCGCTCATGCGCCGCACCATGGAGTCCGTCGCAGCCGAAAGGTACAGTAGACGCTTAGAGCTTTTACAGAGAAACGCCGAGGCCGCCCAGGACCGGGTCGCCAAGCTCCGAGTTCCGCCGGACCCAGGTGACCCCTCCATCTCCAAACAGACCCAGACCTAGGCTAGACGAGACTAAGACCTCACCGAGTCGTAGGGTCTAGGGCACGTAGCATCGCAGATGTCAGCAAAGACAAACTCTTACGAGCAGCTCATGACAGCTATAATAGACAGGGTTGCCAGGAAACCGGAAAATGTCGGGGAATTTTGAAAAGTCAGGGAAACCGGGAAATGTCAGGAAAATGACGATAATGACGATAATGTCAGGAAAATGATAAAAATGTCAGGCACACGACGAAAATGACGAAAATGTCAGGAACAAGACGAAAATGACGAAAATGTCAGGAAAATGACGAAGATGTTAGGGAAAACCGGGAAATGTCAGGGAATATGATGGAAATGACGAAAATGTCAGTGAAAATTTGTTAAATCACCTTCATTTGCTTTCTAGAATGGGTTTGAGGTTTCGAACAACAAATTTTGCCTGAAAACTATTTTCGATTATGCCTTCTTAACCATCCGGCACATCTTCAACTGTCAGGGAATTTCGCCAAAATGTGTCAGGAAATATCAGGAAATTTACGAAAATGACGAAAATGTCAGGGAAAACCGGGAAATGTCGGGAAACTTCAGGGGAAATTTGTTAAATCACCTTTGCTTACTGGAATGGGTTTGAGGTTTCGAACAACACATTTTGCCTAAAAACTATTTTGAATAATGCCTTCTAACCACCCGGCACATCCTCAATTGTCAGGGATTTCACCAAAATGTGTCAGGAAAATCAGGGAAATGTCAGGGAATTTCATTTTCTAAATTCTGTGGCAACCCTGAATAGAATGAACGGTGGACGCATTGAAGTAGATTTTGATTTTTGGCGGGCGGAAAGTTTGAATTTGCAAACGGAGTTTGGAATCTTTTAAACCGTCCGCCATCGTTGTTCATGTAAAATTTTGACGAGTAAACATCGATGCTTGGTTTCTATCCTTTAGAATCAGTACAAGAACCTAGGAAAGTTAGGAAGTAAATATTGAATTTTGACCTTAATCGAAGAATTATTGATTTGGGTTTGTCACGGTGCAGAGTTATTACTTTGCAGTCATGGTAGGTAATCGTCGTGATTTTATCCCTACTCTTCTCCGGAAATTTCAAAGAATCTTCAGGGGACATTGTCTTTCGCAGGTTGTCATTATTATTATGGGGCCGTTTACGTCACGCGGGAGAACTATTCCTACTGTAGCGATAAAGCATTTTTCAAGGTACAAGATGTCCACAATTGTTTTGGATGAAAAATATTTCCTAAACGCATTTTGGCCGACCTATAGATTCAAAAGCGGGATCTAAACCTCTCAAGAGTCAGGACACACCTTTCAAAATTCAGGTTTGGAGGAAGGAACACTTCTTTGACTATCCGCAAACGACATTTTCATTGCCTAAACTAGACTATATACTCTGAAATGCTTGTATACATATACAAAATGTACCTACTTACGCTTCGTTGCCTTCTAGCGTTCCTTTAATTTTCCTTGATTTGTCATTAAATTTTTTGTAATTTTTTTAAGTTTATTCTTTGTCCTTGTTTCGCAGACCTTTCTCATATATTTTTTAGTTCCCTTTGTTATACTTTCTCCTTTTGGTCCATTTTAAGTTAAAGTAGCTTTACTTAGTTTTTAGTTCTTGATGAAAGCGTTTTGTTTCGATTTACGATTCCATTCAATTAAATATATCATTATTCAACAAGGTAAATCTACCGCTAATTGAATGAGCCATCAACGAAAACGCCGAACCTCAGTGGCGAGACGTGAATGATCGATTATCGATATCTATCCACATGAAACTATGGTAAAGAATCGATTATTGAGGTGTTCGTTGCGAACACCCTGTTTATCGATCCTTTTCCATAGGTTTAAATGGTAGATCAATCGATGTATCGCAAAGCACGCCACGCCACTGCAAACTTTGAAATCGCTCTTGAGGCCCAAGAAGAAAAAGGGAGACCTCCATCCGATAATCGTTGAAGCGGAAAAATATTATTTTCTCATGATTTTTAGTGATCGTTAGTGGCTGTTTTAATTGCGAAGTATTTTTGCTTTTTTTCACTTTGTGACCCGTAAACATGCAAAAACTCATACAGTAATGTTTATGGATCGAATGCAAGCTTCCAATTTTTTATTAGAATGTATTGTTCAACTATTTCCTGTCAATTTTATTCCCACAAAGAAAATTTTAAGGAGTAGGTAATGCGATGGATGAACTCGGGAACCTTATGTCTAGATAAAGGTGTCTCAAATGTCCAATCCCGTTTGATTCTTAGAGGGAAAACTTTACTGTTTGAATTTTTCACAGAATATTTTTCCGAAAATCATGGACATTCGCCCTGAATCTCGCTGAATAATTTTTCAGTTTATCAGTGAAATGTGGCGGGAAATTCGCAGCGGTTCGAACTAAGAATGCTCAACTTGTTCTCTAATATTGCTTAAGGTGATTCGTCAAGCTCAAGTGACGTGGTCGAACTGGCATGCGATATATCGCATCGATTAGGTCAAAAATCTCGGTCGATTTTGAATTTTTAGCGAAAAAAAGGACGATAGCCCCTGCGCATGAGCCTAAAGAATCATTCTAATCCCAAAAATCAGCAAAATTCCGAGAAATGAAAGCAGAATAGTGTTTGGAAAAAAACCTCGCATTCGATACAGAAATTGATGGCTGAATCGAATGCGAGGTTTTTTTTTCAAACACTATTCTGCTTTCATTTCTCGGAATTTTGTTAATTTTTGGGTTTAGAATGATTCTTTAGGCTCATGCGCAGGGGCTATCGTCCTTTTTTTCGCTAAAAATTCAAAATCGACCGAGATTTTTGACCTAATCGATGCGATATATCGCATGCCAGTTCGACCACGTCACTTGAGCTTGACGAATCACCTTAAGAACATTTTTTGATTATTTCCTAAAAACTTCTCCTACAGATAGAAGTAAGACGTGTTTAAAACAAACTTGTTTTTCGGTGTGCAATTAGGGCCGAGATACGTAGTTTTTTAAGTTTCACAATTAATTAATATGAATGAATCATCCTTTGAGTCATACGCCATTTTTGCCTGATAACTGATCCCTTTTAAAAATCAAAACGACTGCATGTATTATACGGATGTCTTAGACATTATTGAAAGTCCGAGGCATATTGGCTCTAAACTTTATTTTGCATAATTTATTGTTTCGTGCCTTGTTTCTTCTTGAATTATTCAGGGTATGTTTGACCATAAATTCTAAACCTACGTTGGATTTCTTAAATTCTTTCCTTCACCTCGTTTGTTCCGAAAGCGAATTTGACAGTACCTAGCAATTATTTTCTTACGTCCTCTTTTCTCACAAGCAATAAAAAAGGTACCCAGGAACTTATAAGTATATAAATTTCATTGCGAATGCAGATATATTTTTAGACACTTTTTTGTATCTTATAATTAAGAATGTTTGCCATTAGATTTTGCACTTTACTTTCTTGTTGCAATGAATGAAACGTTACTTTTAGTCATGACTAATTTCTCCAAAACGAGAATATTTACACCTGATTTTTCTGATTTTAGCACTTCGATGCTTAACTTGCGTAGTCTCAATCTTATTTTGTAATACATTTATTTTCCTCCTACTGAATTGTTAAATTCTTCTCTTAAACACCATGAATCACTCACTAATTATTTTATTTCTTCTACCCACCTTAGTTTTATTTATTTTAATTTATTATTTACGGATTCTTAAGTTTCTCCCCTTTTAGTCACCTTATTACTGATTTCATTTTATTTGGTGCCATGCATATTTTTAACATTAGCTTTTTTAATTTTATAAAAGTCTCTGTCTGGATTAAATATAGTAAATTCAGCATGATTCTAATTTTTAAAACCTGTTTTTTATTTCGTTCATTTTTTTTATCTCCCGAACGATACCTTCATAGTTGAATGCTTGGATTAGATTTATTTAACTTAAAGTAAGCTTTGTTTTTTTGCTTCAAAGGCTTTTTACTTTTCCAAATTTTTGAATACTTAAACTTTTTGGCTTTATTTTAAATTTAAAGCAACTTTACTTTTTTCTCTGTAAAAGTTTACATTTCCTCTAGAAAGAAGGGGAGCAAGATTTGATTCGATTGCCATTCGCTAAAATTGATAACTCGTTCTCAGTCAGATATGACACTGATAAAGTTATTCTCTATATTGTCATGTACACAAACTTGCAAAAACCATAATTATTGCAAATTACTCACGGAGCAAACCCCTCACCTCTGATTACTTGAGGTGTATTGGGAAAATCAAGTCATGAAATAATCGAGTCTAAAGCCGTAATAATTGCAAGCTCTGTAGACTTATCATCCATTCCGGGTTTAGCAACTGTTAGATTCGGATTTAGGAGCCGTGCTTACCTCTTAAAAAGCGACCAAATTTATAATGCACGATCTCTGGGTTGACATGGGGCGGTTGTCCACTGGTCTGCATAGCCTATGAGGAACTCAGGCTTACCTAGAACTTTTATTTTAGTGCGAGCATGCTATTGTAAACTTATTTAAACCATCTAGCTTAATAGGACTACTCTCACGCAAACTTTTTAGTTGATAATTCCCAGCCGACAGTTCTCGTCGAGTCAATCGAAAATCTCTTTACAGTGATATCATAAAAAAACTGAAATACCGTTTAGAAAATTGAAATATCCTGTCTGGTGTTTACTCAACAAGAATCCTCATGCAGAAAATTAATTCCAATTTCTGCAGATCCAACAAATAACTTTTCTGCGTGCGAGGAACAAAACAGAGGCCAGTACAATCCCGATGCCGGAAAAATTTGTAAAAACAATGTGTCACTAGACCTTGTGTTATTTTATTCGATATCCTGAAAGTACCACGAGAGCATATTACGTGGTCATGTATTGCGTATTTTTGGAGCCAAAACCCCGGACAAGCCCAT